ATCCAATTTACTAAAGATAATCATACCTTGAAGTTGGTCAAAAAGATCATTGATGCATGAATGTGGATATGCATTCTTAACAATGTGCTTATTGATGCCTCAATAATTGATGCAAAGATAAAGTCCACTATCTTTTTTGGGTGCAAAGAATACATGTGCTCCTCATGGTGATGTACTTTCTTGAATAAGGCCTTTTTTTAAGAGTTTGTCTAATGTCTTCCATAGCTCTTCAGATTCTTTTGGTACTAGGCAATAAATTGGTCATCTTGTTGATTTGGCTCCAGACAATAGTTCTATTTAAAAGATGGTACTTTGATCAAGAGGCATGCCAATAGGTAGGTCGGTTGTAAAGACATCACGATATTCATGTATAAGTTGTTCTATCCATTTTTCTCCTTTAATTGTCTTGTCCATCATTGATTTGAAACTACTATATATATTGATTGCTTATATTGTACTTGCTTCTTTATAAAGGTTGTCTCTAAGAGTAAGTCTCTAGTTGTAGATTGTCTTTCTTCTTTACTTGATGCAGAGGTATAAAGAGTTACCTTGCATCTACCATCTTTAAAAGATATTGTCCTTGCTATCCAATCAACTTGTTTATTTCTTATATTAAACCATAGCATATCAAAGATAATATCATATTTTAACTTTATTACCTTGAACTTCTCTCTTAAGTCATAAGTGTAAGTCAACCTCAAGGTTTCTTCTTCACATGTCTTACTTAATATATTCTCTCAATCATCTGCAAGGTATATACTTCTTTCTTTGATTGCTTTAGTTTCAATTCCAAGTTAGTTCGTAATTTCAGTTGAGATGTAATTTTTTATAGAACCATAATGTATAAATACTTGATATGGTTGTCTTTTTAGTAGTTCTGATAGATGCACCAATTGACTCTTTTTATAGTTGTTCAAGGCCATGCCATTTGTCTCTGAGAAACAATAACTATCTCAGTACTAGCCTTTGGCACCTTTATTGAAGAGCCTCATTTTTCTACTTTGTTTCAATATTGACTTGGTGAGTTTTGAGACTATAAACTCGCCTTGTTGTGCTAATGCTTAAATTTTGATGTTTTGAACAACCTCCAATCTGATGGTCTGGCTCCCAACAATATAAAATTAATTTCTTTTTCACCAATATTTGTCATCTTTGTAGTATCAATGATCCTTGTAGGACATTAATTTTCATTGAAATTGGTTGTTGTGCTATGATGTTAGATAGCAGTATAGGACTTTGTGCTATAGGTCATGCTCTATGATTTCTGAATTCTATAGCATTGATCCTCTCTACAATCCAAATTGCCTCTTCGAATGTATATATATCTCTTAGTTCTACTTTTCACTGGATCTCAAGTTTCAAACCTCGTAGGAATTGATCTATCATCTTTGCCTCCAAAACATTACTAATTTAGAGACATAAGAACTTCAATTGAGAGACATGATCTTACACTGACCTAGATTATGTAAGACTTCTCAATTAATTTCATGCTATCTTCTTTGCATTGATGGACCAAAATTAATTCCTAAACTCGTTCTCAAACTCCTTCCAATCTCAGAATCCACCTTGAGCTCCATAACTTTCAACTCAATGTCGCCACCAAATGGCTGCCATATCTTTCAAACAACTAGTTACATATATAATTCTTTTAGTGGTATTTGCTTGAGATAGTTGGAAGTATTATTGCATGTTGAAGAGCCATTGACATACATCTTCTTATCTTGAAGTCTCAAAGTATGTACTAGGGTTACTCAATTGTAGCCTAGCAAATGTCAACTTTCTTGTCCTCAAGGCTTTTATTTGCTCTTGCAAAGTAGCTATCTTGTTTAAGAGATGCTGTATTTGAACATTCATTTGGGATTATTCTGTCATATCTCCTATGCTATAATTTTTCCATTAGACTTTACTATTATAATGCCTTTTCATCTCTTAGTTGATTTTTTAAGAGTAGCTTGTAGTAGCTTCAATACATTATCCAGTGTGACCACAACAACTAACCTTTGACTTGATGATGACTATTGATATACTACCAAAAGACAATCTAACAATTGCTCTGATACTAATGAAACAAGACTGTTCTATCTCAAGTATCTAAGATCCTTCTAATCTACAACAACGTAAAACCTCATCATAAAATAGGACAAATTGGACCAGAACAAAACTGAATAGAACCAAACAAAATGGAACACAGTGGATCCTATTTAGTCCTCTAACCTGACCTCAATTCTAGAAACTTCCATAAATTCTCAAACATGGTTCTAACTATCTATTCCTATGTATCAATAATACAACTATCTTATCTATATCTTATTACATTATGTCTAATAGGAGTTACACTTTCTATTAATATATAAATTAATACAACTAAAAAAACATAAAATGCAGTATGCTTATTGGCTATGGTACCATTAAACTCAATTATATATAAAAGTTATAAATTAATTATAAATAAATAATAATGGAAGATTTAAATAGAGTTTTATTTCTAGTTAACCACATTTTAAAATATAACTATATAATTTTGATATTGAATAAAGGTATTTTTTATTGATAAAATAATATATATATATATATTTTGAATAGTTCTTTAATCATACATCAATTCTTTGCACTTTCTACAGATAACACATTTATAAAAGAACATGATATTATGTTTATATAGTTAAAGATTGAAATTAAAAATCAAAAGTGAATCAATATTTTATTAGATATAACTTACAATTTAGGTTTAAAACAATTTTGAAACAAACCTATAATGATTTTTTGGTTCAATAATTATAGTTTTCTTATGATTGGTTTTTATAATTTCTAAAAATTCAATATTCAAATAAAAATTCTGATTTTTTTGGTATTTAAAACACTTTCTGATTTAAAAATTAATTAGATCCTTAAAGTATAGTTATCTTTTTAAATTAATCTACTTTACTTATTATTACATTTTAGCTGCTTATAGGGCAAAAATGACATTCCTTATACTTAGAAATGATGATTTATTTAGAAATACTCATCATTATCATTATTATTATTATTATTATCATTTTTAATGTTTAACTACTGACTTCTTTGAAAAAAACATTATGTGGCATTGTAAAAGTTAATGTGTATATTGATTGAATTCATATAACATCCATGTTCTTCTAAAAAGAAAATTAATGTCATGTTGACTTTTATTTATTTAATTCAGTTCACAATTTTTTTATTTTTTTATTTTTATTATTGTGATCTTTTCAAAAACCAAAAAATAAATAAAAAAGAAACACATATCTTTGTATACTAAAGAATATGTAATTTCAACAAGAAAAATTCAAATTTTAATATGATTGGATTGCATGGATTAAATTATATATTTTATAACAATAGAGTGATAAAAAAGAATTAGATTTTTGTTCCTATAAACCTTGGATTTAACACATCAATTTTGGAACAACCTACAGAATGATCATTTGGATTTTAGTTTATTTTCTTATCTATTTTTACCAATAAGGAAAACATCTATACATTTGTGCACTTATTGAAATTTTAGTTTTTTTTTTTTTTTTTAGTTTTTTTAGTTTTTTTTTTTTTCTTTTGTGTGCATACATGTATATGTGTTTTTGTGCTAAGGCATTGTTTTATGAATAGAATACAAAGTCATAACATTGTGCAATGAATTTATTGATTAATGTTTCTACTTAACAGATATTCCTTGTCCTAATGATGTGTTCTTTTTAAAATGATGTATTTTTATTTTTGTCAAAATCAAATACGATTATTATGTGTGTAGATTTGAAAATCAATATAACATTAGTCTTTTCTTTTAAAACCACTAGTGTGTATATATATATATATATATATAAATATATCAATAAGACTTGTGTTACATGGCTATTAATCTCTTTAAAATATAACATTTTTAGAGTAAAGTTTTGTAGTATTAACCAAACTACCAAAAATCTAAAATATCATAAAAAATTATAAAGTAAATGACAATTAATTAATTTGTTATACTCCCAAGCAACACAAACAATTCATTTAATGCATGAATTATCAAACAAAAAACATAAAATCTTAAAAATAGAACAAAACAACAGAATTGTACACACAATTTAAAAATTGCAGTGGTCTTTCTTTAATCGATACTTACAATTGAGATTAAGACAACAATATTAAAGGCTATGAGGCAAACTCTCTAAAGCTTACAAAGTTCTTGAGAACAAGCTTCCTTATCCATTTAAATGTTTTAGGACCTTTGAAGTGGCTATTGTGTTACAATCCAATATTCTCCTCTTATATATATCTATACATAGGCCCATGAAAGGTTGATGGATAGTGGTGAGGGGCGCATGAGGATAGCATGTGGTCATGAATCGAAATCATCCTCAAAAGTGAGGACTTGGCACAAGGAATACCACCACAACTTGTAATAAGACCTCACCCAACTTGTTGTTGATTATATAAGACCTCACCCAACGTCTGCAGACACATGTGGAGAAAAGTGCATCGAGGCAAACAGGGTGAGAGAATAGCAAGTGCGTATATATATATATATATATACTGCTAGCTAATTTTCTTTTTTGTTGTATTTGATCATTGTTGTCCACGGGACACCATAGCCATCAAAATGAGCTTTTTTGTTGTATTTGATCAAAGTCAAAGAATTGACATCGAGTGTAACCTGTAGGGAATCTCACAAGAGTGTTGGGAATTGTCTTTTGACCGTTTACTACAAGTTGGGTGAGGTCTTATATAATCAACGGATTCCGCTTTCACGCTAATTCCCATGGAAGGGAAGTACAGAAGCTCATTTTGATGGCTATGGTGTCCCTTGGACAACAAAAAATTGGAAATCTTTTCAGAAGCCAGACGAAGGAAATGAGCACCTGACTATGACGATAATTTCATACTCAAAACAGGATTTGCACTTTGATTTGCGGCTTCTGCTCTACAGAGCCAAGCACTTCCATCCTCATATAACTACAATCTGTACAGCACATCATGGCTCTGAATTTCACAGGCAGGAATTTGTGTGAAGCAACTCATCTCATGGGGTGAGCAGAATCGACAAAGCCCTCTCCTTGTACCAAACTGCAAGAGATTGGTCGGTGTACACTGCAAAATGTTGGTAAAACTACAAAGCCAAAACTTGTCTGGACGAAAATTGGATGTCACCAATGGCAACAGCATAGGCCAAACTCAGCAGTGGCAAGAGTTCGAAGACTGAAATCATAGCTTGTTATCAATGACCGAAATCTGCTAGAAATTGAAGCCACAGAAGAATATTATACATCGCCACACAGCAGCTAGAAAGCCTATAAATCTGGTATGTGCATTCGCTAATGCTTCCACCACACAAGAAACGACCAGACCAGCTAGTCTGAGTTGAGCCGAGCGTAAGATTCAACGCTCTCCGCGTTGCTCAGGGGTGAGGCCGCCTGCCCCACAATTGGGGCACTTCACGAGGCCGAATCCCTGGCAATCGAAGCACTTCCAACGCTCAAACATGTTGCCGTTCTTCTTGTTCTTCCCAGTCCCTTTGCAACCCTGACATTCCACGCCCCCTTTCCCTTTGCACTTACCGCACCCTTTCCCTGCCGCCTTGCCCTGCCCCGACCCTCCTCCTCCAGTTCCAATTCCAAAGAATGCCTCCACTCTGCACGTCTGCGCCCGGCCTCGTCCGCCCAGCGCCCTCTGCGCGTGAAAGGTCCCCAAGTCCGTCCGCTCGCACCCTTTCAAGCCGAATCCAACGCGCAGCAACTGCGTCATCCTGTCGGAACAGTGTCAGAAAGAATGCCCACAACGGAATCCTGCAGCAGCCCGTCCTCTCCCTCGAATATGATCAATTCTCCAACACATCACACACACACATACACCACAACACTGGGAAGGGGGAACCGAGGCAGAGCTCAGCTCAGTTCCCCTCTCTCACTCACTCACTTGAGCTGGCCTCCTCCTCCGTTATCCTGTTCCTGCAATCCAGCGTTTGGATATGTATATATTATTCATCCACATCCATCTAAATGGAATTCTGTTCGTTCGTTCGTTCGTTCTCTTGCCCCATTAATTGCACTTGAAGGTTTCTTCTTTTAATTGGACATGGAGAGGAAGGACATTTATTAGTAGTTGATTTCTTAGATCTTGTAGGTATGGATACCTATAAAGACCCCACTAGGATTAAAGTAATTATGAAAATTACATTGCACTAAAGTGTGGCCATTAGTTAGGTAGTTATATGTATTGAGAATGTTTGGAGAGCCACAAGAGTAGTTAGAAGTAATGTGTATAAAAAAAACACACACACTCACACAAGCGGGAGTATATTTATGTGGTTATATCACATATACAAAGAAAAAGGGAGAAGATAAACAATTTCTTCCTACTACATTCAAAACAGTGTAACTACAATATTTATTGTAAACTACAGTAAATATTATAAAGAGTGCTAGCTACATTTAATGCTCTTAATAATATACATATCACAAAGTCTATCTCTAGGAGAAGTAACTCTATTTTTAGGTTAGTCAATATGGACATGTTGCAAAAATTGATAGAGAACTTTTGACTTTCTAGTGATTGTTTATTGTTGTACTATGGTGAATCCTAACATTGATATGCCTATATATACTACAGCAATAGGTTGGAATAAAAGCCTAATTTATAATAGTATATATCTATGTACTCTCCTAATTACTTGTCTTGTCATGTTCCTTGTTTGATTTAAGATTTGGTTGCTATGTTGGGTATTGTTTTCCAAAAGAAAAATATCTTTGACCATCCTACATTTAATATTGGTAGTCGAAGTCATTGAAGTGTTGGATTGTGGTTGCATAGATTTCCAATACTACAAGTGAGCCTTTGAAGTCTAATGTTTTCAATATTGCCTCCAAGATCTAAGGATGATTTTTTATGTATATGGTATTGAGTCCATTCAATTTTTCATCTTTCTTTATTTACTTCTATGAGTTGAACAATGTATAAAAAGTAAGTGGGCAATGAATGGTTGATAACTTGTTTGAGCTCAATGGTTGCAACAAATGCATCAAATTCTTCTTGGATGTCATTTCAAAGGAATTGTATTAAGTGGAGGTTAGAACATTCTATGAAGATGTTGATAGATAGTTGAGGTTGGTATGTGACCATTCTAGTGGGAAGAAAACAAAGTTTCACTTTAGTAGATTTTTTTGGTGAAATATTGATAGTTTGATAAATCTCAATTTTGTTGATATTGAGGTTTTTGGAAGTCAAGCTATTTGTATGGTGCAAAAGGTTTTGTAATACCAAATTCTTATTGTAGGGTATATAATATGGGATTTCAAGTGGTATTGAAATCCATAAGGCTAGCTTCAAGTTGTAAGTTGTTAAAATATGTCCATTCAATAGAAATTCCTAGACATATAATTAAGGCATATTTGACAATTTTTACTTTTAGATTGTTAGAAGTTTGATAGTATCTCTTTCATCTTACTTATTTTTTTTCATATATTAATTGACAGTTTGGCTATAAGTGTGAGCCAATGCATAGCTAAAATCTTTTCAATAATTTATAGATGCTATATTCTTTAGAAGAATTATTAATATTCTATGGTGTTGCATCTATAGAATTTGAGGTAGTGAATCTCACATACTGCTTGATTGTCTTATTAGGCTAAGACAGTAGCTTGATTTTCTTCTGTATGCAAAGAAATTATCTCCATTTATCCTATTAATATTGATTTATTTTCAATCAATAAGAATCTATAGAAGATGAAGGATTGAAAGTGCATCAAATAACCATATTATGTATTGAGTCTCTATAAAGAAGTTGGATTATATAATAAAATCTTTTCCTTTATAAAGAATGTGAAGATTATGCAAACTTGCTCAATATCCCTATGAGAGATCTTAGTAGCTTTGCTTGAAGATTGAATAAGCTCTTTAAAAAGATGGATGTGATATTGATGGAATTGCCATCCTCTTCAATATTGTCATAAGATATATTAGAATATATATGTAGAGCCTTTTGTTTTGAAAGTAATCCATTCATTAGATTTTGGAGAGAAGATACTAGTCAAGTTTTATAGAATACTCACAAGTAATTTAATTTGTTGAATGTAGATATTTTTAGATTTTATGGTGTATCAAAGTTAGGTGATTTATATCTATTATTAGTTGATAATATTCTATATATCTTTAATATAGAATATATTATTTTTATTTTGTATATAAAATTAGAATGCATAGTGGATATATAGTTCTAATACTACTTGTATCATGATGAAAAAATTGTTGAATAGTAGTTGTTGCAAAATCTCTTTCTAATATATGGGTTGGTTTTTTTCAACCTGCTTTGGGATTGGATCCATGTATTGAAGACAACTTTCTACAATTAGAAGTTATATTTTGATGGCCTCTTGGCTTTTATGATCTAATATAAATAAATTTGTCACTTTCTTATTTCAACTATCTTGCTTTGTAAAATACAATGTTAGAATTTTTTTTTCAAAGATTCATTTCTTGATTGTAAGTCTTTGATTACTAGTTTTGATAAGAGAATAATGATTTGTATGGAAGAGTTAAATAATTTTACCTTGCAATAGATGATGGATTGTATAATTGTTGTCAAAGTAATTGTTTTTCAAGTTGTAATGCATGTCTATATATCTTATGCATAGTTGTATACAAATATGTGAGTTTGCTTAAAAGTAACACCTATAATATATATTGATGAGTATAAGTATGAAATAAAGGTGAATAATACTTAGTTTGCTATTAATATGAGACCTATAAGTGATATATATTGAGGATTCTAAGTAGTGAGTCCCTTTGTAAGCATGAAGAGGATTTTGTTATTATTTTTTTTAAAAACTATCTAGAATCCAATAAAAAAATTAATGTACGATATTATATAGTTTTTTTTGAGCTACTTAATGTCAAAGTTACAGTGCCATGTCTAGTAGCGCAATGTTTAAGAGGACCAAATTCCTACCATCTTTTGGCAATTGACTTTTGCTACCAACATAGTGTAAAAAATCTCAATAGTATCTATAGTTTGGTCTAGATTGTCTTCGCTCTTGTTTAAATAGAGAGCAAAATCATCCACAAATATAATATTTATCATGGTTGTTTGATCCAAGAGTATAAGGCATTTGCTTCCTTATTGTATACTATTTAGTATGTGCCCAAGTACATCCATTGTGAGAAAGTAGATATAGGTAACCAATGAGTCTCCTTATTTGATTAATTATTCCAATTGAAAGGAGAAGTATGGATTTTCATTTAGGTTGCCTACAAAAGAAGCTTTTATATACACTGTCATAATAAATACTACCTAATCTTAACTAAATTCCATGCAAATCATTATTTCTTTAAAAAATGGCCAATTCATCCAATCATAGGCCTTTTCAAAGTTAATTAGAAAGAAGATAAGCTCTTGATTGCTACTTTTGGCCTAAGACATAGCCTTGAAGATAGTAAATATATTGTCAAATATTGAGCATTTAAAGACAAAAATAATATACAACTTCTGAATCTAAGATGGGAGGTATTCATGCATCTTAATAGCTAAGAGCTTAATATAGATCTTATAAATATAATCCAAGAAGGATATATGTATAAAATTAATAATAAATGAGATGTCTCCTAATTTTAGAATTAATACTATTTTATTCATATTTAATCTTCGACATCAGTGGTAGAAGTTTAAAACTTTTTGGTAGAATTTTAAATGATTTATTGAGGTTTTTGTAAGTAGCTTGTGGTAAAATTCGGCCAATATTTTGTCAAGTTATATAGTACGACCAATTGAAGTACTTTGAATGACTTATTGTACTTCTAGGAAGTAAGATAGTTAAAAAAGCTTAATATTTTATATTTCTTTTATTAAACATGATATACTATAAAAGCATTCTCAATTTTTATAATGGTTTGTTTCAATTTTTTGGTCAAGAAAATATAAAGATGATTATTATCTACAAAGGCTTCTATATCTTACAGATCTAAAAATATATACATATTGCCTGAAAATTCTTTGAATAGAATTAGCTTTCATTATCTATTGTGATAATCAAATAATTCTTAACTATAGTAGTTTCGTACTTGGATCCATTTGTATAACTTATTTTCATATTTGAGGTCTATCTTGGCTTTTCAAAAAAATATAGTAAGTTTGTTTGGACTTTATTGAGTTATTTTAGAGCTTAGCTATTGTTTCAATCGTCCAACAATATCATTTTGGCATTGTATACATTTCAAAATTGATTCTCAAAGTTGTTGCTCCATTTTTTTTTTTCATTTCTTTGTATACATGTCATTGATTACTTTGATGGCTTTGACTACAATGGCAATTTTAGTATTCCAATTGCGGTCCAAATTGTTGGCAATGGCTTATATCCATGCATATAGTAACAATGCTCTATCTTGTAGTATTTCAAGATAATATGTATTAAATTGGAAGTTATGTATTAAAGAAGGTCAATTTGGGTGGATTTTACAAAGTTGGATGCATGATCTAAGATATGAGTAATTATATACCAGAGTCTTGTGAAATTTCTAAATTATCGAATTTTAGTAAATAATTGTATTATATTGATCTGGATACAAACTATATTGGAGACTTGTCTTCTATTATTTTGTTTGAATTTTTTGGAGCTTGCCTTCATAAAGAAGTCATTGTAGAAGTAGTCGAATACTTTGAGGTATAGAATAAGATCATTCCATGCAATTATTTTATTTTGGCCTCTATTAGTTGTTGTTGTTGTTGTTGTTGTTGTTGTTTTTTTTTTTTTTTTTTTTTTTTTTTATCTTTTTTTATTTTATACAATTAAAATTACCAAAAAGGATATAATATGCTTAAAAAAATAACCTTTTGATATATTTTTAGAATTTAGTTTTATTACTAATATTGTTATAGTCATATATATTAATGACATCAATTTTGAGTAGCTTGGAAATTAAAAGATGACAAATTAAATGTAATTATGTT